TTCCGGACTGATTTCATGAGCAGGGCTGGGTGACAGATTTGAGCTTAAAACATCCTTATAGAAAAAGCGTAAGGCAGTCACCAGTCCTTCTGGCCAAGGCAGGTGTAATAGGGAAAGTATATGTATGGATCTAGAGCTAAAGTGACCTCTGCTGTTTTCACTGGAAGTTTTATGTGGGTTTTTTTTTTCACAGCCAGTATTTTGGGTATTATACTGAACCCAAAGCAGCAAAACTGCACATAATACATAAATAATACGAATTGAGATTGATCATGAAGACCTTTTGTGGAAGAGCTAATCCAACCACTGGTGCGATGGAGTGGTTAGAAGAGGATGAGAACTATGACTACCATCAGGAAATTGCAAGGTATGCTGGAAAAAAATAGCTTGTTGTTCCACTAAAGCTACAAAAAAAGAGCAAACCCATCTTGTTTTTATGACACTTTTTGGATTTATCTCTGTAGAATTTTGAAGGGCATGAGGTAAACAGAGTGTAGGACAGTCTAAGTGTTACAGTGCCCTGTGTTGTACAGGGCAGAACAGTAAATGAAAAATTTTGTGAAGTATTCTCCAAGAAGTTTAATTCTAATTTTTTTAAACTTTTTTGAGGTGCTGATCTCAATACTGACAGTGACTGAGTTGTGGCAAAATGCATTGACTAAATTTTTAAGTCCTCATTACAACAAATAATTGCCAGTTGTCTGTTCCGTAGTAACTTTTTAAGTGCTTAATGTAACAGCCAGAGAAGTTGGGAAGATTAGATTTCGGGGTATTTTTTAGTAGTGTGACCCATGAAGAAATGGGGACCAAAGAATTTAAATCTTGGTAACAAATGATACACCATTAGTGGGCTGTCTTTCATTGCTCTGTATTGCTCTGTATGAACATCTGCCTGTCCCAGCTGTTTTTTCACAGCTGTTTGTCCATAGGTCTATGCATTGGATCCATTGCTGAAGAGAGGATATACGCCAGCAGTTAATTAGTCCCTTTACATGCTGATGTCCAGATCACTGAAATGACATTATTCCTTAGGCTTGGGAAACAGTTCAGATCCTCAAAGAGCATGTCAGTTATCTCTATTTGCAGGCTATGGGGACCGGTTGCCTTGATAAGAGAAAACAAAGGAGGTTATATACTATCTAGCGGTTTTGTCGTGCTTTACAGTATGTAGTATTTTGAATGGAACTTTTTTTTTTATTGTAGGTCACGCTATGCAGATATGCTTCATGATAAAGACAGGGTAAGTACAGAAGCAAAAAACTTTTGAATGGTGAGAAAATACCCATTTCCTTTCTCTTGAATAGCTGTCACTGCATGATTATACAGGTTTCTCTGAAAGATGAAATGATCAAATTTGTACCCTTTAAGATACCAGACCTGTTCTTAGATGAACAGATGCCTTCTTACATCTGGCGCTAGTGTTCTGTTGTTTACTGCAGAACATGATATTTACATTCAGTATCTGATTTTGCTGTTCTATGTTTGACATTTTTGACAGGGAGAGCTCATTAGATGAAATTTCAAAGGCTGTAAATGTGAATCTAGGCTTCTTAGTTTTTATAGGAATGTAAGTAAAGTGTGTCTTTATTCTTTTGTGGTATTTTTAGCTCATATTTACTGATTAGGATTGAGAAGAAAATTGAAATACCATGTCTACAGGCATGATAAAGTCTGGAGTGAATGGTTTAAATGCTCTTTCTGCTCTAGTCATTTAGTCAACTGTTTCGTCAATAACCTTTTAAAAGACTTTTATGGTGCCTACTCTACGAGTCTTAAATTCATACTGAATTGAAACGTGGCAGTGTGATTAGGCATTTAATAAGCCATGTAGAGACAGCAAGCTGTGTCTAAGTGATTAAAACAACTTTACTGGATTTATATATCAAAAGTGTTAAATAGAATTGTTTGGAAAGGGATCCAGCAGACCTTCCAAATTTATAATGTCCAAAGATAGTGTATTCTTTGGAAAAGCTTGATAAATCATTTGGAAAGGAATGTCTTACAATAGGCTATAATGGAGTAAATATAAGCATATATTTCAATATGTGCACTATAGCTGACAGATGACAGCGTTTGGATTTTTTCCTGTTGTTAATGCTGGTATGCTTGCACCCCACTTAATGGCACATAACCAAAAGCCAGTATTTACCCATGTTGCTTCTGATGTATTGTTTTTCAGTAGATCTGGAGAGGAATCTAAATCCAAGATACTTTACTTCTTGTGCTGTCGTAGGCACTATATCACTATTTGAGTGGTGCTGTGGGGGAAAAGTGATCAGAAAGACAGTAGTATCTCGCATAGATCTTATTATTATTTGCTCCAGAAAATATATTGCATTTATAAATTACGCATGCGCTATAAACAGCTAACTGATCAGTGACGATGTGAATATTGTGATAAAAATTGATCTCCTTGAAATGGACTGATCCCTCCAAAAACACTAGCTTTTGCTGAAAATGACTTTGGTGTGACTGTATAACATACAGAAAGTCTGTGGGCCTTTTTCTACTTATAAATGCACAGTTGGAGAATGCAAGATTTCTGCACAAAAATTCGAAGTATGAATGGATTTAAAAAAGGTTGATGATTTTTATTTATTTTCCTTCCTTCCTTGACAGAATGTGAAATATTACCAAGGTATTCGTGCTGCAGTGAGCAGAGTAAAAGAAAGAGGCGAGAAAGCAATTGTTCTAGACATAGGGACTGGCACAGGACTCCTCTCTATGATGGCAGCTTCAGCAGGTGCAGATTTCTGCTATGCAATTGAAGTAAGCATTTCTTATGGGTTGCACATACTTCCGCATGCATTTTCATAGCCTGTTTTTAGAGCTTCAGTGCAGTTATTCTGTCTGCATGGTCAGTGGAGTGGAAGCATTTGTTATTTTGTATTGTGGCTTCTGGAGTGCAAGCCTGATGCCTGTGTCAAAACACTTACGTGTCAAAAACACTTAGGTCTTACAAGAGTATAGTTGAAAAGGTATAGTGCATTTTTCGGTTTTGGGGCAGTTTCTGTAAATGTGCAGATTAAAATTACTAAGTGAAGTTTTATAGTATTCTGTCTTCTCTACTTATCAAAACTCAAGTGTAATATGAAAACTTTAACCAAGTCTTTGAAAAATGTGAGTATTCTCTTAACAATTTTGCTGATCTTCGTGAGTTTCAGCCATTAGAGATTGGTTCTCAGGCTACTTAATCGTAACACAGACCACATTGTAATAAAGAGACTGTCTCATAAACTGATTTTTCCACCTCTTTGTGATTAGATAGAGTATCTCCATTTTTATCGACATCCTGATGGTCATCAGCAGCCATTACTTATATTAAGGATAATAACAGTAATATTTTGGCCAGTTTAATTGGGTTTTGTTTTAACGCATCTGAAGAAACAAAGAGAAGAGTCACTTGTCTGTAAGTCATAGTTGAAAGAGTGCTGTGTGATTTTTATCCAAGTAAAAATCTGCATTTTTTTTTAATCTAGGATTTTATCCTATGATCATTTTTCAGGGACAGTCCTCTTTCATGGAGACACGGGAAGCAATCACAGAGTTGTGCTGGTTTCCAAAGTGGCCACAAATGTCTTATCTTATGTAGTCAGATCGTGTGACTGAGTAGAACATTTAAAATTTTTGAGTTTAAAAACTGGAAATGGACATTAAGCCCTTCCAACACATTCTTCATCGTTCTGTTATTTTCAGGCTATGTACTCTCTCTATTCTTCTATTTGTTCTGAAGGAAACAACAATTCTTTTCACAGTTATGCTGTTAATAAAAGCAGATTTTTGGCATACTTCAGTGACTATTTCAGTGCTGCTTGTTTGGGGTTATTATTTATTTATTTTATGTCTTGAGCACATATGTCTCTTGGGGCCTCTCTTGATGCATATATATCTTTATTTTTAAAAATAAACAAGTTTGTTTAAATGCTAAAACATTCTTAATGTGTATTCTTGTCTTTCAAAAGTAAAATTGGAGTGGCTTTTGGAGACAGCTGATACTCAGTTTGTAACAGTGACATTAGAGCTTTATGGTAATGAACTTCAAACATAGGAAAAGATACAGAAGATGTTACGTTTTTGCAGGACTAAATATATTGCATTTTGTGTTGGTGTCCTTTCAGTTTTGAAAGCTAATGTTAGCTTACCAGTTTGTTGTACTCTTGCTATTTACAGGTTTTCAAGCCCATGGCTAACGCTGCTGTGAAGATAGTGGAGAAAAATGGTTTTCGTGACAAGATCAAGGTAATCAACAAACACTCCACTGAAGTCACAGTTGGCCCAGGTGAGCAAAATAGGCTAGAGTTAAAAAACTCGGGAAATACCTCAAAACCATGAAGGAATATGTCTTATTCTTATTTTTTTTCTTTGTTTTTAATTAAAACAAGCAAATCCTTTACTCTCTAGAAAGTAACATTGGAAATTTACATCAAAAGGAAGTGTTGTAATAGTATTTCAGTGGTCATTTGTATTTCGTAGTAAGCTTTTAAAGGAAAATAATTTGCAGTCTTCAGCAGGTTCTCTAACAGGAATAAGGGTTTTTTGATTACTTGTGTTTTCAGGATAGCATCTGCTTGAAAGACTTGTATAAAGTCTTAATATTACAATGTTAAATTTTGTCTTTTAGATGGAGATATGCAATGTCGTGCAAACATCCTGGTAACAGAATTATTTGATACAGAGCTGATAGGAGAAGGAGCTTTACCAACCTATGAGCATGCACACAAATACCTTGTACAGGTAAGAAACTAAAAATTGAGTGTGTCACATTTATCCCTAGAGAAAGTCTTCTGCCTTTTTTTGAGTAGGATAGAGATTATAGTTGATTTAGACTTCTGTATCCTTTGTAAATACAGAATCAGCTGTGCTGATTTCTTACTCAGTGAATAATTTACTAGATTCATTCCTAGAATAAAAATATTAGAGGTCATATTGTAAATCATGGGCTCTGAAATTACACTTAGTTGCTTTGTGTTGAAATCAATAACTTGCTGGTTAACAAATTATGGAATGATTACCCCCTTAACGCAACACAAATATCTTTCAGAAAGGCATCCAGTTCTGATTTGGAGCTTTCCTTAGTAGTATGTTCCAAGATGTTTTAAGAAATTAAATTCTCCTCCTAAATTTGAAGGGCTTCAGCTCCCAGGCATTTTTGGTTTTTTTCCTAAGGAGGTATTGCTACTCTGCATGCATTTTGCCTGTGGAAATACTTAAAACACTAATCAAATTAATATCCAGTTTTTTTGGACATCGATATAATTTTAGGGCTTTCTGTTT